TCCCTGTCGCTGACTAAAGCCTCGTGCAACGTAATGAGCCTTGAAGACAGGCGGAGAACCCGGCGGTCGCTTCACCCTGAAAATCCACATGCCATCGACTATGTTCGCCCCAGGAGGGGGAACTGCGTCAACGTAAGTGCCTGTGGACTTCCAGGTTGCCATCTCTGCGTCCATGGCTGTCTGCCACTGAGAGGAGTAGGGACCCGTAATCGCCTCTGCGTAAGAGCCCGGGGTCGGGATGTCTGGTGCATCCGGGTCTCCCTCAGGCGCAATCAGCATGGACACGAGATGGACACGCAAGCAGCTGCAAAACACTCAAAGTCCTCCTGCCTGTCCTCAAGGACGTCCGTGCCAAGAGCACACTCACCCCCGACGGACGGAGGACAGTCAGACCCAGACTCAGCAACAAGACTAGCGGCGTAGTCGAGACGACAGGCGGCAGCAAAGTCAACAAGCTCAGCAACTAGGGTAGACGCAGGAGTGGACTCAAACGAAGGGTCAGTGACAGCAGTGGCTAGAAGACGTGTGACAGTAGGATTGGCAGCACGAGCAAGGTCGGACGTAGGGTCACTAACGTCAGGCAGAGAGGACGCAGGAGGAGACGGCAGAGGGACACGCTGTGGAACAGAGGAAGGACGAAGTGCCATAGGGTGCGTGCCGGGGACAGGAGGAGGACGCTGACGAGGAACACGGTGACCAGTGCGAACAGCGCGAACAGGAGAGGCAGGACGAGACTTAGGCGCACGACGCTCTGTAAGAGAGCCTGTCTGCTCAGTGTAAGGAGAAGGAGCAGGCAGTGGGGAGTCTGGCTGTAACTGCAGCTGCGACTGGTCTGGCGGTGGACACAGTAAGGGAGGAGTAAGGCCAGTAGAAGGCGGGAGACCAAGAACCTGCAGAAGCAGTGGAACGAAGTACGGTCGCGGCCGCACAGTGCCTCCAGAACCAGCACCAACAGCACCAGCACCCCCAGGGCCAGCACCTCCAGCTCCAGGGTCTCCAGCTCTAGGGTCTCCAGCTCCAACGCCAACGCCTGCAGCACCACCAGCTCTAGCAGCTCCAGTACCTCCAGTACGAGCACCTCCGGGACCAGCGGCTCCAGCACCTCCAGCACCTCCAGGACCAGTAGCTCCAGCACTTCCGCTACCTCCAGCTCCAGCGCCTCCAGCTCCAACGCCTGCAGCACCTCCAGCTCCAGCAGCTCCAGCACGTCCAGGACCTCCAGCGGCAGGCCCCCCAGCTCCAGCAGCGCCACTCCAAAGGCGGGTGCGCCGAGAAAACCACTCGCGCAGCTGTGGTGGAGAGAGAGGCTCCCGCCGTGACGAGGCACCCGTAGGACCTCCAGCAGACAAAGTACCTCCAGGATCAGCACGCTCAGGCTCAGCACCCCCAGGCTCAGCACCCCCAGGCTCCGCACGCTCAGGCTCAGCACCCCCAGGCTCTGCACCCTCAGACTCAGCAACCCCAGGCTCAGCACCCCCAGGCTCCGCACGCTCAGGCTCAGCAACCCCATTCTGCTGCGGAGAGGCCGAAAGTGTGAACGACTGGCGAATGCCCTCCCCACGACAAAAGTCCCGCAAGAGGTCAGAGGCAAACTCACCACCTATGTCAGAGTGCAGACGCAGGACACGAAGGTCCTCGTGGAACCGCTCGCGGAGCTGGAGACGGACAGCGCGGATCCAAGGGATCAAAACATCAGGGACCTCCCCCTTGCTACGCAAGGGGAAGACCGTGGTGTAACGCGTGTAGTCGTCAACAACCAGCAGAAAGTATCGCTCGCGGGACGCGGGCTGGGCCCCACACGTCCATGTGGAGAGTCTGCAGGGGAGCAGTCGTCGGGGGAAACGAGGAGGAGTGAGGAGCGGCGCGCTGCCGGCCCTCGACACAGGGAAGGCAGGGAGGGGCCTCCGCCACCACCGCCACCTCCACCGCCTCCACCGCCCCCACCACCGCCTCCACCGCTGCCACCCCCACCACCCCTGCCTCCTTTGCCCCTGCCGCTGCGGCGCCTCCCACTAGGAGCAAACGCAGGTCCGACCTCCTCAGCACGAAGGAAGTCAGCAGCAGAAGCAGAAGCGACTGAGGGGACAAGGGGGAAGGGGGAACACCCCTCAAAGAAGGGAGTGCGAGGAGTGCCACGAGAAGCGCCTACAGCGACTATGCTGGTCTCAGCTGCAAGGAGGTGCTTCTTGAGCAGGTCGACAGTGAGGTCTGTGGGGTCAAGGGCGAGAAGGAGGTCCCTGACTGTGCTAAGAGAGTCAGGGAGGCGGGTGACGATGAAATAGAGAGTGATGTACATGGGGGGGGGGGGGTCTTGTCTAGAAACTTGGTTGGAAGCGCGGCGCGGTAGCGAGTGTCACTAGTGCGAAGGTGAGTGATGAGGTCGGCAACTGTGGCAAATGTGGACAGCTCGGGAAAAGGGTAGGGCAGTATAAGGCAGCCTAGAGCAGCAGTAGCCGGGGAGGAGTAACGAGCGACTACAGCGTCGTACAGGGCTCTAGCTGTCTTGTGCTGGCCAAAGTGAGCTCGTTAGGCTAACGGCAAGTGGTTGCGAACGGCTAGGCGAGCAGCAGCGTCACGGGTAAGCCACTGTGAGCGAGTCGCACTGTCAGCTGTGTCGGGAGGGGCGAGAGAGGCTCCGGACGTGAAGTCAAACAACGAAACGCCGTCTCTAGAATCGCTCAGTAGGTACAGCTGCAGGTCATCTAGCCACGCATCGAACTCGATCGGACGGCCCTCAGGATCGAACGTGAGGACGCTGAGAGTAGCCATAGCGGGCAGAGCACGGTGGCGCACGCGCAGCATTGCAGCACGCAAGCAAGGACGACGCGACGTCGCAGGGCGGCGCGCAAGCGCTAGGGACGCGCGAAGGGCAGGGCGGGGCGGCGCACGGCTAGGGCAGGGCGGCGCAACTGGCAGGGAAGGGCGGCGGCCAGCAGGGCGGCGTGCGGGCAGGGCAGGGCAGGGCGGCGACCAGCAGGGCGGCACGCGGGCAGGGCAGGGCAGGGCGGCGGCCAGCAGGGCGGCGCGCAGGCAGGGCAGGGCAGGGCGGCGGCCAGCAGGGCGGTGCGCTGGCAGGGCAGGGCGGCGCGGCGGCGAGCGGCGCACGGGCAGGGCAGGGCGGCGCGGCGGCGAGCGGCGCGCGGGCAGGGAAGGGCGGCGCGGCGGCGAGCGGCGCGCGGGCAGGGCAGGGCGGCGCGGCGGCGAGCGGCGCGCGGGCAGGGCAGGGCGGCGTGGCGGCGAGCGACGCGCGGGCAGGGCAGGGCGGCGCGGCGGCGAGCGGCGCGCGGGCAGGGCAGGGCGGCGCGGCGACGAGCGGCGCGCGGGCAGGGCAGGGCGGAGCGCGAGCAGGGCAGGGAAGCGCGGCGCTAGCAGAGCAGTGCGACGGGCAGAACAGGGCAGCGCGCTGCCAGGAGGGCGGCGCGACGGGCAGGGCAGGGCAACGCAACTGGTGGGGCAGCGCTACGGGCAGGGAACTATTCGGTGGGCCCTAAAAAACGGTTTTGGAACAGGACCTGCTCTGAAGCCATGTCAAGAATACTGGACGAGAATGAATGCATTGAACAGAAAGGTGGTACAAGTACTAACCCTAATTGGGTTGTACCCCATATGGGCTACCCCACTACAGCCTACACAACATACACAACATAATAGTTTGACAGTTGCCTGGAATGATCTCGTCACACTCCTGAGCCCGGAAGAGAGTTGTCAACAATCTAAAGTACTCTGTGCACGCCATGGTGCGTTCCTAGCGCCCTTGAGGCCAGGAATCCGTCGTGATTAGGCGTGCGCCTGGCAGTGAGTCGAAGTCTCCAAGCCGCTCCATGAGGTTCTTCACCAGCGACTCGGTCATGTCCGAGGGTGCAGAGGTCTACACCCTCGGACATGACCGTGCAGAGGTCTACACCCGTGGGACATCCTTCAAGCGGGGACTCGTGCAAGATGTAGCAGTGAGACGTAGGTCAACCATCAGAATCTCCACCCTCGGCCTCAACTCTGTGCACACGCCTAGGTCCTTGGTGTGCCAAGAACAGCAACAATCGTTCACTTAGCCCTCCTCCAAAGTCATCGCCACAATCCGTGTAACGAGTGTCAAGGTGTGTGGTCGTCCGCCGAATAAGGGCGTGCACTGCCGCCAGGTCGAGCTGCCAGATAGAATCAAACTGGTTGAAATATCAGAAAACTTGATTGCACTTAGACTAAATTTGTGTCCTCGCGTTGCTGGAAAGTCTTTGTTTAGCACGTTCAATCGCTCAAGGACATCCGCGAGGAAATTTGGAAAGATTTGGAACTTGTAACTGGTGACGACATCATACATCGGCTTGTCCTTCACCTTGTGCAGCATCACAATGACTCCATGCAACACGGCAACCAACCTGAGGATGGCATCTTTACGTGAGAGCCATCAGACGCTGTGAATCCCCTATACCTCTAAGTTCGTTTGCGTGAATGTGTCTTGAAGGTCAATGAATCATTGGTGCCAGGGTCCTGAAGATCCTAAGAAGTTGATGAGCCAGTGGATGAAGTTGTCGACCAGCTCGAAGTCTAATAAGAGCTCGCCACATCTTTAGCCGCAAGCTTCCCTGCCACACAACGAAAGCCGACAAATTGCTGACAAAGCCGACTGCACTGCAAGGTCGACCACATGTGACAGGCACCTGTGGACAACAATAGTATATATGGATTGGGGTGTTATCGGCACGGTTGCAGCTTGATGCTAACTTGGACAGGCACAAGACTTGCTAGGCACCTTGACCATCTTACATGACTTACAAAAACCACCACGTACCTGAAGTGCATCCGACTGTTGAAGAAACCACGACACCACCGTCCTCCAAAAGCCACCTGAAGGCAAGCAAGTTGCTCGAGGCGTTGTCGGTCGTGAGACCAAGACAATGCCCCTGCAACCCCCACTGCTCCACCACCTCCTCCACCATCTTCGCCAAGTCCTCGTCCCCGTGTCGGCCTAACATCTCGCGAAACTCTAAGACTGCTTGCCGCAGCTACCACCCGTCGTCCACCCAGTGACCCGTCACCACAATGAACGCCTTGCCGGTGGGCGCCGTCCACATGTTCATGCTGTAGGACGCCTTGCAACCCAGCTCCCCCACCTTCGACACCAGCTCCGCAATGGCCGCCTCTAGATCGGCCTCAGCAAAAACCACAGTGTCGCGTGCAACTGCCCAGCGTGAAGGGATGAAATTCTTTTCTCGGCACTGAACGTTCCACAACATCAGCAGCTCTCGGAACTGGAGGGAAGGGGACACATATAGAGGGTGAAGTCGCCATAAACCTGGGTTTGCATTCACAATGGTAGTCTCGAAACCTTTATGCCAAGGGGTGGGAGTGGTAATAAGCAACAAACCTTGGATCCAGTAGGCACTCACAGCGTCAGCGTCGATAATGCGTAAAGGAAGATCACATGTGACCACCAGCTTGGGGATTGCCTGCCGTAGCTCGTGGCGGGTGAGCTTCATCGTCATGTAGCGCTCAATCCCCGCTGGCCCCACCTCCCCCTCTAATGCCTTCCCTTTACCCTTTGGGACGTTCGGCCAGGTGGTGACATGAGGCCACGCCTTGACGTAGCCATCTGGCACATCCTTGTAACCCCCCACAAGAAACGTCTCACCCTTGGCGAGGAGGTCGGGTCGGTCATATCGATACTTCCACATGGACCGCGTGGAAGCTCTTGAAATGACTCACAACCGGAGTGGGGGTGCTGCCCTTCCACGAGATGCGATCTAAACACATTCAGAGTGGGGGTGTTGCACTGACGCTTGTTGTTAGCTCCCTTGGGATCAAACATTTTAACTTGCCACCCCGGTCTTCGGCCATCCTTGCCCTTCTTACTAGATCCCCCGCCCTGGCGACTCGTCAACACACTCGGGTGTGGCCACTATCTCCCCAGAGACCCCCCCCTCGCTAGGTGCATGGGCTCTGGGTCTCAGCTTTGCAGCTCTCCTCCCCCTATTCTTCCCAACCCTGCCCGCGGATTGTGGCCACCCAATCTCCGTCCTCTTTCTCCCCCGCCTCCCTTTTGCATGCTCACCACTTCCACCCTGGTGTTGTGAGGCCTCCTTTGCTACCCCCTGTCCCTCGCCCACCTCCTCCTCCCCTTCGGGCTCCAAGCCTTCCATCTCATGGTCTTCATCTTTCCCCCCTTCACCACCTCCATGGCCATGAGTGCCGGGTCGCCACTCCGGCTCACTGTCATCCTGGCTACCCTCCTCATCCTCCTCGTGTCATCATCCTCCTCCTCCTCATCCTCCTCCTCGCTATCACTGTCCACAGTGGTAGAAGTCGTGCGCCCCGCAGCAGGGGAGCTCGGTCCACTGTATCAGAACGTGTGTGGGGATGACGATGATGGCATAGATCTAAAAAAACAACAAACAAAAAAAAAAACAAAAACAATGAAACAAGCCGCGAGTGTCGTAGGCCCGTCCCCTACACCGCCCTGCAGAGGTCGTGCTGTATTCAAGGGCGTGCCCCCGCGACCATCTACCACTCCCCCTTCTGCTGGTGGTTGCAAAGCCATCTAACATGCCTAAAACCTAGCCTAGCCTAAGCTGAACACAAACTGCAAGTTTCTGCCGTCAAGGGGTGTGAATGAATCTTGTTGTCGTAAATCTGGCCTTGATCGTGGAATCGCCGAGGATTTCTGCTAGTTTTGGTGAATACGAGGTTCCTGGTAGATTCCTGCTAGATTTTACCCTAAACCGCTCAAATGCACCTTTGGCGCCATCCTTAGTCTTGGCTAAGTGATGTGTTGAGAGAAGTATTGATTTGTGCTCCTAGTAGAAGTAATGGCTGTGGGAGAGAAGATCGACTAAGTTTGAGTTGCAAAATGAGCTCACATTGAATGTCCCGTCGACCTATAAAGTTGGTCGCGGGACATTCGTAATCGAACACAAATGTGTTTGTTGCCTTCACGCAACGAACACGAACATGTTCTGTTTGTCGCGGCTCAGCATGCAGCGACGAACCGAACACGAACGCGTTCGAGCAAACACGAATGTGTTGGGCCAAAACACAAAGGGCAAACAAATCCCTGTTTTGTTCCTCGAACATGTTGAGGCAGACCGAAAAGGTGTTCGCCATGGTGCTAAAGCCTAGATTGAAGCGACCGAAGGCAAACTCGCCACCACCATCAGAGTGCAGACGAAGTACAGGATGGTAGTGTTGGGCATGAACAACCACTAGCCACGGCATAAGAGCGTTAGGCACGTCGGCGTCCCGCTGCAAAGTAAACACCATGGTGTAGCGAGAGTAGTCGTTCACAATGACCAATAAATAGCGCTCATGTCGTGGTCTAGAGATGGGGGCTGGGCCCCAAATGTCCATGTGCAAAGTCTAAAGGGGAGCAGTGGTATGGGGAAACAAGGAGTGAGGGGCGGCGCGCTAGCGGCCCTTGATGCAAGGAGTGCACGGCGGCGTAGGTGAGGGAGGGAGCGGGGCAAGCAATGCTAGGAGACCTGAGATCTTTCGGTGGTGTACCATGTGACGGAGACGTAGGAAGGATGGGTGACTTAGACGGTGGTGCCAAAGAAGTGAGTGAGCGACCGACACGAGCACGACATAACTACCTGGCCTGATCTAGCCACCTTGGGGGACGCAGTGCGCAACGAGAACGGACTTGACGCAGGCTCTTGCTGGAACATGGCAAGAGGTGCCCCAGTGGTAGTGTCCGTGCAGGTCGCAAACCGCTCATCTCCGGGGAACGTGGTGGTGACACCAAGGTCCTGAAGAATACCGGCACCCACCAAGTTCGTGGAGAACGAGAGGACGTGCCGACCTATGAGGGGCCCAGAGCAGTGGTGCTGCGAGCAACGACTGGTCCTGCGGTGGGGTCGGCCAGAACGACTAGGACTGGTGCGGGAAGTGGCGTGAGGCTGGTGTGGTCGTGAAAGAAGCAGCGAGACGTGCTAGAGTCAAGTGTGAAGGAGAGAGACGAGTCGGCAGTGGTTGCACCTGTGTAAGCAATAGTAGAGGATCCTACACTAGCATCATCTACACATCCTAGGCTAGGCATACACAAATGATAAGATCCAGCAATACTATAGTCACCTAACACATACAGTAGGGGGAGAGGACAAAGCAGCATGCAAATCACTAAAAGTCGTGGTAAATAACTGCAAGCCAAATCAGAGCCTCCGTGCCCCTAGTGTCGACGGTAAAGGTCGGTGAGGTAGCCAAAAATACCATCCAGGACGGTTAGGACGCCTGCAGGGGAAGCCGCGACGTGGACCAATCCGAAGTGTGTGCATTGGCAGGTTCTAGCAGGGGCGTCGCGCAACGCCCAACTGGCATGCCCACCACATCGACTAGTGCTCCCAGAGTTTGAGATTATGCCATCCGTTCTACCTTATTTTCACTTATTTATATTTTCTATTTTATTCGCTACGCCCATTTTCCTAATCGTTTACTTCTCTATTTCCTCTTTCAGTTATATTCACCGATTGGATTTTCGGTGCACCGTTTCAATGATTATCTCGCACTATCTCGCGTGAATTTGCGTGTGCGTAAGTTTGCACTGGATTCTCTTACCGATTCGGGAAAGCTCTATTCCCGCTGGTTCTAGAGCCTCGGTACCTTCTAGTAACACCTGGTTACTTGCGTTGTATTATGCCTATATATAGCCACGACGTTGCACCCAGGTTCATTATTCATTTCCGAAGTAAAGTTTCTATCCTCTCACAAACAGCCGATCGAACCCCACAGCTTCTGTGGCACCACTGCTGGAACAGTTGGCGCTGTGGCTGTTGGTGCAAAACCGCCACATCCTTCCAGCACCCCCTCCAGGTGCTCCACCAGAACCAGTACATTCTCCAGCGTTAGCACCTCCGCCACCTGCACCTCCTCCGCTTCTACTTCCACCTCCGGCGAGGGAGCAGGCTCAGCAAGAGAAGCTAAGGCTGCAGGGGGAATCAAGTAGGAAAGGGGCACACCCCTGAAAGATACCAGAGATGGTGGTAAGAGCACGGAGGTGGTCCTTGATCTTAAGAGGGACGCGTCTTAAAGAGGTAGTGAGCGTTATAGGGACCACGGTCAAGTAGTGATCGCGGGCACCCACAAAGGGGTCAGGGGGGCGGGTCGCAAGGAAGTACAATGTCACATACATGGGTGGAGGGGGGTCTTGGCAAGAAACTCAGATGAGGCAGCAGTGCAAAGACTGGAGTCTAGCGAGCGTATATGCGTGATTAGGTCAGCAATAGTGCAAAAGGAGGAGAGGTCAGGGAAGAAGAAGGGCAGGAGCTGGTGGCCTAGATTCGAAGTGTCAAGAGTGAAAAAAGTGAGCAACAACAGCATCCAAAACCTCTTTCACCGTCTTTGCCTGTCCGGACGATGGGAGGTGATCAGTGATGGCGAGGCAAGCAGCTACGTCACGTGCCCTCCAGCGCCTGTGCTATGTACGAGCCAGGTCGAAGGCCTTCTGATCATCTGCCGTAGCGCCAGCAGCAAGAGCAGGAGGACACGGCGGGGCAGGCAGCTCACCGTCAGCATGCTCGGACTGGTGAATGTCGTGGAGAAGCTGGCTCTCTAAGTGGAGTCGGAGCACTTTCAACCACGACTGGAACTGAATTGCATGCCCCTCAGCACCCAAGCGAAGTACGTGAGCAGTCCTTATGGTAGCTATAGGTACGAGCAGTAGACTAGCAGGGCGGCACAGACGGCGGTCTAGGAGGCCGGCACGGACGGTAGTCTAGCAAGGGCAGCCCAGGCGGTAGTGTAGCAGGGACGGCAGTGGTGGCAGACTAGCAGTGGCGGCAATCAGGCAAGGGTGGCGGCGAAGGCACGGACGGTGGCCAAGGCACGGGCGGCGGCACGGACAGCACCATCTAAGGCATGGGTAGGCAGCTAAGGCATGGGTGGGCAGCCAAGGCACGTGTGGTAGTCAAGGCATGGGCGACAGCTATGGCACGATTGGTGTGAAAATATATTTGTTGTTAGTTTGTATTGTTTAGTCTAGGTGGTGTACTACTTTGTTAGTGCTAGGGTTAGGTTTGCTATATCTACCCTTGTACTTGTTCATTCTAGTCATTCTTTCCTTAGTTCGTTCGTTAACATGGCATAGAGCCTAGCGTTTCGATCCGATGGTCCCACCACCCCACGCTCCGCTCTAGCCCGTAGCGCCCCGTTTCCCCGCATGCCCGTAGCGCCCCGCCACCCCGTCACCCGTAGCGCCCCGGCTCCCCGTTGCCCCGTCACCCCGCTGCCCGTACCCATACCCGCTACCCGCGCCCCGCAGCCCTTACCCGCGCCCGCAGCCGCACGCGCTGCCCGCACAGCCGCGCACGCAGCCCGCACGCAGCCGCGCACGCAGCCCGCACAGCCGCGCGCGCAGCCCACACGCACGCACGTGCGCGCAGCTGCACGCACGGACAGCTACCCGCCCGCTACCCGCACCCCACCCGGTACCCACTGCCCACTACCCGTACCCCGCCCGCTACCAGCTACCCGCTACCTGCTACCTGCTACCCACTGCCCGCTACCCGCTACCCGCTGCCCGCTACCCGTACCCCGCCTGCTACCCACTACCTGCCGCCCCTACGACAGCAGCGTGGACACACACGGCAGCGCGCGCACGCACTGCAACCTGCACGCACGGCAGTGCACATGCGCAAGCGCAACTGCCGCACGCACGCATAGCAGCCGCGCACGCAGCAGCAGCACC